GAACCGACTCAAAACCCAGCAAACACAGACCTAATAACAAAAATTATTTTTTTAAACCAAAAACAAAAAAAACATAAAATAAATAAAAGTACACAATTAACGCAGACAATAAAAAAAACACACATATTCAGCAACAGAAAGAATAAACAAAAGAGACTCGAACGAAGCCACTAATTGACAAGAAATAACGGAAAACTCTGGCGGGAAAAAAACTGGAAAGGGGGAAATTAACATTGTTGACAATGGGCGTGGAGGCGAGGGCGGGCGTCAGCGGCGGGCGGCAGGACCAAGCGGAGCCTCGCTAAGTAATGAGGGTCTCCACCACACGCTTAAAGGGGAGGGGACACATGGAGCCATGTGTCCCTGGGTGTCATCCAGTGGTTGTGTGCAACGAGCCTGTGTCTCAGGCTGTCTGCCTATCAGACAGTCAGCCACAAGTAACAAGGAGGGAACATGTCTACCAGGCTGTCAACCGTTAGTAACAACGAGGGAACATGTCTACCAGGCTGTCAACCGTTAGTAACAACGAGGGAACATGTCTACCAGGCTGTCAACCACTAGTAACAACGAGGGAGCATGTCTACCACACAGTCAACCACTAGTAACAACGAGGGAACATGTCTACCACACAGTCAACCACTAGTAACAACGAGGGAACATGTCTACCAGGCTGTCAATCACTAGCAACAACGAGGGAACATGTCTACCAGGCTGTCAACCACTAGTAACAACGAGGGAGCATGTCTACCACACAGTCAACCACTAGTAACAACGAGGGAACATGTCTACCAGGCTGTCAACCACTAGTAACAACGAGGGAGCATGTCTACCACACAGTCAACCACTAGTAACAACGAGGGAACATATCTACCACACAGTCAACCACTAGTAACAACGAGGGAACATGTCTACCAGGCTGTCAACCACTAGCAACAACGAGGGAACATGTCTACCAGGCTGTCAACCACTAGTAACAACGAGGGAGCATGTCTACCACACAGTCAACCACTAGTAACAACGAGGGAACATGTCTACCAGGCTGTCAACCACTAGTAACAACGAGGGAACATGTCTACCAGGCTGTCAACCACTAGCAACAACGAGGGAACATGTCTACCAGGCTGTCAACCACTAGTAACAACGAGGGAGCATGTCTACCACACAGTCAACCACTAGTAACAACGAGGGAACATGTCTACCAGGCTGTCAACCACTAGCAACAACGAGGGAACATGTCTACCAGGCTGTCAACCACTAGTAATAACGAAGGAGCATGTCTACCAGACAGTCAACCACTAGTAACAACGAGGGAACATGTCTACCAGGCTGTCAACCGCTAGTAACAACGAGGGAGCATGTCTACCAGACAGTCAACCACTAATAACAACGAGGGAACATGTCTACCAGGCTGTCAACCACTAGTAACAACGAGGGAGCCTGTCTACCAGACAGTCAACCACTAGTGGAGGAGAATGAGTAGTGCCAACATCAACCTCGTTACCAGAATGGTAATATCATCCTTGCATGCCACTAATTACACCAAAGCAATAATCATTAGCTGATCTATGCAATTATCTTCACTTGATTAATACAACTATCTGTAGTTGCATAAATGCATATCTGAGACGGTCCTTGCTGAAGCTAAGGTCCCTTTAATATTGATGAGGCAAAATTTACCCGGAATTCTACTCACTACACAATATTTAAATATTAATCTGAAGATTATCTTTTGTGAATTAATTCATTTTGAGTCATCTGCGTCATAAATTATTCATAAATGAATTAAATTTGTGATGATAATTTGGAGAAATAAATTGTTTGATTAAGAAATTCCAATTATTTCTTTGAAAATTTGTAAAGCCTTCCTTAATGAAAGTTTAGAAGATAAGGTTGAAAAACCCCTTAATCAGTTTCACGTTTGGTAATTTTGTGTTCATTGTCTTAATTTTGCGTTCGCTTGTACATAAGTTTACGAGCAGTTGTACATGACCGTAATCACACCTTCGTGATTGATAATGGTGGTTGATGAACCATCGTTTGGTGATGACACTTTCTCAAGGACAGGCAATTATCAGGAGAAAGCGTCAGGCTATTATGACTATATATCCCTTGGAACGGTGTGAGGACATGAGATAGAATATGAGAACAATGAGTTGGGATATGAGGAAATCAAGCTGTTAATGAAAGCAAAGAACTGGAGAGAGAGAGAGAGAGAGAGAGAGAGAGAGAGAGAGAGAGAGGAGAGAGAGAGAGAGAGAGAGAGAGAGAGGGGGGGGGGGGAGGGAGGGGGGGGGGGGAAGAGAGCCCTACTCAATGTGGAATTACCAAGGTCCTGAATGACATTAATTGATACGGAATGACTCGTTAACGAGGTGGAGAACATCAATCCAGATGGGTCGGAAAGAAGTAAAGAGCGAGATATTAGCGAAGTGGTTGAGAACCCCAATCTAGCGATGGAGTGCAACAACGAGGAGTTAGCGAGCGGGAGACCATAAAGGTACCAGGGGGGGAGTACGGAGCCAAGCGTTAGCGAGGTGGCCCAGGGCATAAAGAACGAGGGCTGGAACAACGAGTCTGACACGGCAGTAAAGCGGGGAGAAATGGTTAGCGATCAGGGGCCAAGGCGTGAGGGGTGAGCCAACGACTTGTGGAGCTGCGTAGTGACCCCTGAGGCAAGGGGAGGGTGAGGGAAGGGGGCTAGAGATAAGTGAGAGGGGGAAGGGGGTACGGGTGTAAGGGAGAGGTGAAAGGAGGGATTGAAAAGGGATAGGGAAAGGGGAGGGTTTTGGGAGATATCTCCCGTCACGCAGGGTGCAGTCGCACCTCCACAGATCTCCAGTATCATCTATTGATACTGGTAATGGGTCAAAAGGGCCACCACTTACGGGCTATTCATGCCCGTGCCACCTCTTGGGTGGCTTAATCTTCATCAATCAATCGGGAGGGTTTTATGAGACGGAACCTTGACATTGAGAGAACGGAACAGGACCTGCTTCAACAGTCAATAAATATGTATATATTTATTGAGGGGGAGTCTCACTTCTCATATGTTATATATTTATATATAAATATGTATCTATAAATATATAAAAATGTATATATTTAAATACATATATATTCGTGTAGAGATGTGTCTGGGAGATGGTCTGGTGGTGTGTACAAATGATGTGTTCCTTGATGGTGCCTTGTTGTGTGTGTACATTATCAGGCATCTAGAAACAGATGTTATTGTCTTGCCTATATATTAAGAAAGTTGAAAGATGACAGTCCTCAACTGGGCATGGGTCGAACAGTTACCTAAGCATACAATTAGTGATGACAAGAGGAGTACCAACTGGGCTCCAATAAACTGTGTAAAAGTTTCTCAAACTCAGTATAAATGAATATCAGGAGACGCTCTCACACCACATGACCCGCGACTCTCGCAGTAAGTCAACAGATTCCTCTGGAGCCGTAAGGCTGGAAGCACATGCCACGTATGGAGTCTGAAGTGTGTTGAGACACTTAGCCAGTCTGTGTGTAAGTGGAGACTGTTGCTCGGTCGAACTGGGTTTCCAGGTTGCCCTATATGCATATGGGACTGCATGTCCCATACAGTCCTACATGCATATCCAGGCTTGTACTCCAGTGGCCTTCAGCAGGTAAAGTCCAGACTGTTTGACATTAACAGTTTCAACCAATCTGTTATCTTGATTTTTGAATGCGGCAATGGTGCTTTGGAACTGAAATAGCCAGAGTGGATGAGGACAATTTTCTCAAAATAGTCATCCGTTTTGAGAGCGACGAATATTGGCGACTTATCGCCTTTTCTGACAACTATTTTCTAATTCCCACGAAGGATATAAGCCGTCCCTTTAATCTCAGAAGACAGCATGGCGCTGTCATTCCTCCCTCTGTCTGTCGTCCTGCTTCTAAAGTACCCTTAATAGTGACCATTTCTTTGTGTCTCAAGTTTGAATGTGCCGTTTAAAAGGGTCTCCAGGTAACCTTCCGGCCTCCTCCCACTTGCTCTGGTCATAACCTGTGAGATTATTCACAAATATTGGGGAGCGACTTGGTCCTCAGAGAGAAATGAATCCGGCGACATTCAAGAGTCCCCCACACAGTAGTATAGTCCCCGGCAGGGATATATATACTCAAGAGGAAGTCACCTGCTCCGAAATCCAGCCGACAGGATCAATTGTTCGTTCATCCTGATCAACAGGATGAACGTTGATCATCCAACTATTCGTTAGATGAACGATTGATCGATATACTAAGTGTATATGTGTGTGTGTGTGTGTGTGCAACCTGTCCTCACGCTTAATGAACCGCGGTCTGGACGATACTATTAGCATAGATAGGTCTCGTTAATTGCCTAAGTTCGTGACCTTCTCGTTAGGCCAAACCGCTCAATATAAGATATTCATCAGTAAACAAGGCTCTAATAAGAGAAAATACAATTGCATGACTATATTAGGAGATAATACAGTAGGTAAGTCTCTAATTGGAGATAATGGGGGAAAAGTCCAATATGCGAAAAAGAAGATTATTGATGTATAATTCAGCAAAAGTCAGTAGATTTTACATTGATGTTGGCAGCGACTTACGTCGTTTAGTGGAGGTTTCCCAGTGTTCCGGAGGATTTTGTTTTGTTGTTTTAGATTCACTACCTGGAACAAAAAAGTTCCAAGTAGTACGGGCTATGGTGAGCCCGTATTTTGTTTTGTTTTGTGTTCTGTGCTTAATGTGTGGCACTATACAGGTGTTGACGTTGTTGATTAATGGTTGTTTGTGGCTGCCTCTAGCTTCTTCTAATCAGTCGCTTTGTATTACACGTCTCTGGCCGTGGTGGGGGGTGATTGTGGTAGTGGGGGTCGTCAATGTTGGGGAGGAGGTCGTTAGTTGACGTCGGTAGGGGATGTTGACGTTCAGGAAGGAGAGGGAGAGCTGTTGATATGGGGGTTGTGGTCGTTGACGTCGGTGAGGGGATCACTATCGTTGGTGAGGGGTTTCTGTTGTTAGAGGGGGTCTTTGATATGGATGAGGGAACCTCTGACGTTGGTGGAGGGTCTCTGACGTTGGTGGAGGGTCTCTGACGTTGGTGGAGGGTCTCTGACGTTGGTGGGGGTCTCTGACGTTGGTGGGGGGTCTCTGACGTTGGTGGGGTCTCTGACGTTGGTGGGGGTCTCTGACGTTGGTGGAGGGTCTCTGACGTTGGTGGAGGGTCTCTGACGTTGGTGGGGGTCTCTGACGTTGGTGGGGGTCTCTGACGTGGTGGTGGGGGTCTCTGACGTTGGTGGGGGTCTCTGACGTTGGTGGGGGTCTCTGACGTTGGTGGGGGTCTCTGACGTTGGTGGGGGGTCTCTGACGTTGGTGGAGGGTCTCTGACGTTGGTGGGGGGTCTCTGACGTTGGTGGGGGGTCTCTGACGTTGGTGGGGGTCTCTGACGTTGGTGGGGGGTCTCTGACGTTGGTGGAGGGTCTCTGACGTTGGTGGGGGGTCTCTGACGTGGTGGGGGTCTCTGACGTTGGTGGGGGTCTCTGACGTTGGTGGGGGGTCTTGACGTTGGTGGGGGGTCTCTGACGTGGTGGGGGGTCTCTGCGTTGGTGGGGGTCTCTGACGTTGGTGGAGGGTCTCTGACGTTGGTGGAGGGTCTCTGACGTTGGTGGAGGGTCTCTGACGTTGGTGGAGGGTCTCTGACGTTGGTGGAGGGTCTCTGACGTTGGTGGGGGGTCTCTGACGTTGGTGGGGGGGTCTCTGACGTTGGTGGGGGGTCTCTGACGTTGGTGGGGGGTCTCTGACGTTGGTGGGGGGTCTCTGACGTTGGTGGGGGGTCTCTGACGTTGGTGGGGGGTCTCTGACGTTGGTGGGGGGTCTCTGACGTTGGTGGGGGTCTCTGACGTTGGTGGGGGTCCTCTGACGTTGGTGGAGGGTCTCTGACGTTGGTGGAGGGTCTCTGACGTTGGTGGAGGGTCTCTGACGTTGGTGGAGGGTCTCTGACGTTGGTGGAGGTCTCCGATCCAGGTGAAAATTTGGTGTTCTGTTTTGATATGGGACTGACAGATAATATTATTTCCACGTGTCATATACGGACAGGCTCGACAAACCGTATTTGGATATTTGTGCCCCCCCGGGGGAGGGGAGAGTGTTCGCTAATGTTATTTGGTCAAATTAAAAACTGAAAATAAATGTATGCGTTGCTTTTCTATGGATGTTCGTCAATAAAATATATAATGCCATTATCGGCTTTATGATTTCATCGTGGATCGTATTTTACCCATTCATTGTAAGGAAAAAAATCATGATTTAAATCTGCCTCCTTCAGATTTGGATTTGTTAATTCATTACAAATTTTAAAATCAGATCATGTTTAATATTGAAAAGCAACTGACACATATTTTCAGGGGTTTCTCATACGAAATTACATGTGATAGACTCGTGTGAGACTAATTGCATAGATTCACACCAGACTAAGGGGAGAGATATCCATTCGAAACTTCCTTTCAAACTGTAGTCTCCAAAGACGTGCCTATCTACGAGTGGAGATTGTATTAACAGCACTGAGAGGGCTAAGAAATATTATTTAGTCGGACCCAAAGCAAGAGCAAGGAACACCGTTTTCTTTGAGGCGAGGGGTGGCCTAATAGAGGCAGAGGATGACTCCAGTCTCCAGGAGCAAGTCAAGATCTGGACCGTTTATGTCCCTTCTTTCTCGCCTAAAAGCCGTTCCTCGGGTCAGTAATCCTCCTCCGCATCAGTCCTGGGGGTCCAGGAAGCTGGAGCCCCACACACATCACACTCCTTTTAATTCTAATGGCCCGAGAGAGAGAGAGAGAGATGTTCCAGACGACGACCCCGGCTGATGGTGTGTTATACTCGCGATTGCTAACCTCTCCCGCGTCGAGACCCATCTTCCAGAGGTGTATGGTCATCATGGGGGCCCGGGAGATCAAGTCGCTGCCCCATTGTTCAATGTCGAGCATTAAGGAGGTACTCAGCGCCAGGTCGTTCCATGGGGGGTGGGGGTGGGGGGGGAGGCTGCCGGGGCTTGCGCGTGAGGAAATCATCAGAGCTGCTGGTTTATGGGCTGGTGGAGCCTCTGCAAAGTGTTTATGGTTTTGTGGAGACTTTTGTGAGCTGTTTATCTGCTCACTCTCCACATATCTGTCTGCTTTAAAATTTATGTGTGTCTCTTTCTACATCTCTCTCTCTCTCTCTCTCTCTTATATATATATATATATATATATATATATATATATATATATAATATATATATATATATATATATATATAATATATATATATATATATATATATAT